AGGCGGTACGACTCCGCCACGATCTCCTCACACGCCGCAAACGGATCGTTGTGCCGCGCCACCTGGCAGGGGTGAAAGTGAGGGTGGAGGGGAGGCGTGGACGCAGAGAGACGCGCTTATATTACCAGCAAGCCAAAGCCTGCAAGACTTGCAGGCGCACGTGCTGCACTCGTAACCACCAGTTTTTGAGCCAATGCAATCATCCAGTGCACCATGCTGTTCCCCACGTCATGCCCCATCCACACACATCATGTTTCTTGCCGTGATGCCGTGATGCCATGATCCATGCTCCATGCTCTATGCTCCATCCTCCATGCTTCACGACCCTTACTTCATTCCCCATGCTTCATTCCCCATGTTTCATTCCCCACGCTTCATTCCCCATGTTTCATTCCCCATGCTTCATTCCCCATGATTCATCGCCCATGCTTCATCCCCCATGATTCATCGCCCAAGATTCATCGCCCATGCTTCATGTCTCGTTTCATTCCCCATGCCCCATGTCCATCCATTGCCCAACGCTCCATGCCCCATGCTCCATGCTCCATGCTCCACTGCCCATGCTCCATGCCCCATGCCCCATGCCCATGCCCCATGCCCATGCCCATGCCCATGCCCCAAGCACCATGCTCCAACCCTAGCCCCAAGTCCCATACTCCGTATCCCGTGCCCCAAATCTCTCGCGACTCACCATGTTAACCACGTCTTGACTGCTCAGGAACTCGAACACGCCATCGCTCGCGATCACAAAGAACGGGTGCCGCTCCGACAGCGCCACAGTCAGCACCTCAGGCTCCGCGCACACACCAATCCGCTCCGCCACCGAGTCCCCCAGACTCCGCGTGAACGCCGTCCCCGGATACATGCCATTCGCCACCCACAGGCGCGGGGGATCCCCATCATCGTCGTCCTCCCCCCCCCAGCACTGCACGTCCGGGTCCTTGAGCCCTTCCAGCTGGTCTAGGGTTAGCACGCGCGCGCCACATGCGCGCACGCGCGCGCACTCGTCCGCTCTGAAGGGGGTTTGGTCGCTCGAGAGGTCTACTGCGCGCAGCGTAGCGCCCCCTGCTGAGTACCCCTGCTTCTTCTCCTTCCCTTTCCCCGCTTCTCCACCTCCCCCTTCTCCTCCTCCTGTTGTCCCCCCCTCTCCTTCTGGTACCACAGCCCCATCCTCACCGCTTTTTCTCGTTCCTTCTGCTGTTCCTCCCCCCACTCCCCCAACCCGGCCTTCCCCTCCGCCCGCTCCCTCGCCGCCCTCCGCATCCCCCCTACCCGCGGCCTCGTCCATGTGCCATTCCGCCAGCACGGCGCGCGAGTCCCCCACGTTAGCGGCGTACAGCATGCGATCGCGCAGCAGCACGGCGATGCCCGTGCTGCCGCTCATCGTGTCGTCCACGTGCGACCGGTGCAGCTCCACGTTCGTCGTCACAAACGCGTCCCTGAACGCCCGCGGAACGTCCGCGTCCAACGCAGGGTGGTTCAGAAGGTTCCGCGCAAGCACATCCCGGGAAAACTGCGAGCATGGCGTGCCTTGCTCCCCGTGCCCGTCGAATACACCGAAGAGGTGGTCCGACGGGAGCCCTCCGAATTGCGGAACCACACAGAAGCTGTCCTGATTCGCCTTTCCAGGAGCTTCTGGGTAATACCCTCGTTGCGTCAAGTAGGAAAATCGCAGCCAGAAACCGGCTCCTGGAACCTCGAGCACCATTGCGCCGGATTGGGGTGGTGGGGGTTGGATGACGGGCGGAAGAGGTTGACGAGGCAGCTTCTCTTTGGCTGCGCCTGTAGCGGCGCTGGCGTCAGCATTAGCTTCGCTGGTGGCCTGCTGCGTATGATTCGTCTGAGGCAGAACGGCACCGGGGATATTGTTCAATGCTTCGGCTTGAGAATCTCTCTTAGCTAAAGACTCTGCTTCTTGCCTGTCTACACCAACCTCTGGCTTTGATGCTGGTACACTGGCAGTACTCGCGCTAAGCGACGGGCTAGGTTCAGAACCTGCGGGCAATTTCCCCTGAGAATCGAAACCAGGTGGTTGTTGCTGCTGTGCCGGTTGCTGCTGAACCTTCTCTTGTTTCCGCCGGCCCTGCCCTTTCCGCTTATCAGATGCCACGTCACCATCATGATGATCAGGCGTCCCAGTAGACAGTTCGTCGACGTCCTTAAGCGTGGCCTTGGAGCTTACGCACCCCATGGCGAATAGACGGAGCCGCGGAGCACTCTAGTTACTAACGTCTCGCACTCTGCGGAGCTGCCCTAGAAACGTGCTGATGGACTGATCTTGCGGTATTATTTTGCGATGAGCAGGCCTAAGTCGTCAGACAGTACTATTGCGACGAGCTGCGTCGAGATGACCTAAAATGTTGCTAATGTGTCGAGTTGACCTAAATTGTCAAGCTACAATGAATCAAGACGACCTGAGTCCCGGGTTGCTCTAATGCGTCGATAGGCGCTGGTATGGACAATTCTATGGAGCCACACAGGCCATGGGTACGAGTTAATGAAAGAAATTAGCAGTCCCGGCTCATGTCAGGTCAGCACTGCGTTTCATTAATATCGCGAGATGAAACTTGGAATTGCACAAACGGAATGACCGAATGCAAAGGTGCAAAATTAGGGCTCCTAAACGTGAACCGCAATCGAAAATCCCGTCAGGCAGTAACGCCGACAGCCAGCATCATAGCGAGGAGAATAGCGACTGCATCTGAAAAAAAAACAGAACGTCGGACATTGACTGTTCCATACGAAGCGTCTAGCAATATCTCGCCACGAGCAGCACGAGCGCTCGCCGTAATGCTACATCGCAGCCACCGTCGCCTTCTCGGGACGACGCCATGACGCGCTGCTAACTATCACCCACAATATCTCTCAACCCCCATTCCAATCGAGAAAAAACTTAAACAAGCACGTCTTAGACCAGAAGGTCTAGTGCGTCGAAGTGCGATCGACCTGAGCGCCAGGGATACTAATCAGGAGCCCATGACCGACCTAAGTCCTAGACTCTCCCTAAACTGCTGTAACTATTCCTCCGACTTGTCAACCGAACAAAAAGACAATACCCATGCCATTCCCGTAACGCACGCACAGACGGGGATGAAACCGTGGAGGCACGGAAGGAGCAGAAGCAGACACCGAGGTGCGTCAAGTTGCTGACTGGACGCAGATCCCAAGGTGGAAGGGGTGGGGTGGGGTTTGATTTGCCTGCCTGCGCTGCTTCCCGCCAAAGGCACTGTAGATTGGCAGCAGTACTGGTGACCAGCATTCTGGGTGGCGTGGCGTCGCGTGGAGGGGCCGTGCGATGCTAGCGACCGTGTACGACCAGGTGCGTTTTCGATGGGCCTTCGGTGGACGGCAATGTTGCGTGTAGCTAAATACCCACTGATATCATTTGCATCTCTAAGAGGATGAAATGAACTCAAATCATAAGAATCAATAAATGAGGACTAAAATCCTAGCAATTCTCTAGAGTTCGCCAACAGGAAACCTAACGTAGATTTATCAAATTTCCGAGCGAACAAAAAGCAATGTCGCGGCTCTCCATTCAATACACAATAGCCCCCTTCAGTAGACTGCAAGAAACAACCACAGGATAGAACAGCATAAATACTTTCAGAACACTAATCCCCACTAGCGAACTTATTGCATGAAGTAGGCAAAAGCAATAACATAGCTTCAGTAAATAACCGGCAAGGTACTTGTAGCAGCAAATAATACTTACCAGAGGAGGTCGAGGGCCATTAGGATCCGTTATCTGCAAGATACACGCACCAAATAAAACACCAGTACCAGAAGAATGAAATGAGCACAAGCATGAGTTAGAATTGGTGAAACAACAGGGGCAAACTGGGAATGTTGGAAATACTTAGACCATGATGAAAAGATAATGCTGTACTTGATTTATATCCAACAGAGAACATGGTGTTTGGCCAACGAGTGCCAGCAACCAAGAATATTCGTTGAAGGATGAGGGGGCCCGAAGGTGTAGAGTGGGGGGCTTGCACTGAGGGACACTGAAGTGTGTGGAAGGACTTACATGTGAGTAGTTGCTTGAGAAGTCTTGCCAGAAGGACCGGAAAGAGACGAACTGCGTGGCAGACTGGGTGGGGAGGAAAGAGAGGGAAAGTGAGAGAGAGGGAGAGCGAGAGAGCAAAGAACCATAACACAGCCTTGCACAGTAAAACGATGCAGTAACCTTGCTCATGCCACATTTCATTGTTTGTTACTCTCACAGTACAGTTGTGCAGTTTCGACGTAGAACAGACACCCCAACGCACAGAACCTCAATCGTTTGGCTTTCGCATCCCTACCTTGATCATCCGGATCACATCTTGCGTGGTGTTGCTCCCATGGTAGAACCTCGGGTGCCACTCGTTTGCACTCCAGTCAGCAAAGGTCGTCGGGTAGTGGGATATGCCCTTGGGGTCTTGCATCTGAATACAGGGTCAAATCAGGCAGAATCAAACGCCGCAAAGATATGCGAGGAAACCTTGAAAAAAAAAAAAGTATTACTTTCTTATGCTACTCGGGCTCTCGGAAACCATTCATATGGAAGGTGTTCCATGAATCCGTTCGTTTCTCTTGCTTCAGCGAGCCTGTCTACAGCAACTCACATGCAGCATGGTTTGGATGTAGTGCTCGTCGGCGCAGCACACCTTCCCCCATTGAAACCGAAACTGCAAGCAGGTGAGTGACAGCAGATGCAGCGAGGAGCCGGGTAGAAGACTGAAATGGCTGCTTGCACCGACAGGCAGGGAAGGTTAGCTGATGAACAAGGAACGAAAACCTTCAATCGTAGCATAGAGTTCAGTGTGCTCCCGCACCAGACAACCCCCATGCTGCATGTTGCAGTGCTTCCTATCCCCACCATCACCAGCATTGCCAGCATTGCCAGTCCCCAACCATCACAAGCAGCAGTGGTGAATGTACTCGCGACTCACCTGTGCCCAAGCCCTCATTCCCAATTCCTACGCCGCAGCTCCTATTGCGCATGCACAGCACGGCACCTACCCATCTCCCTTCATTCCCAGCCTTACCGCGCAGCTCCGGTTGTGCACGGCGTAGTGCTGCGTGTCCTGCACCACCAGTTGCGCGTGGCGCCGCTGCAGCACGAACCACTGGTTGCCCTTGCGGTAGTCCTGCGCGCCCACCAGGGGCTTGAAGATGTGCGGGATGTAGCGGCGGAAGGTCGCGTTGTACGGGTCGGGGTATCTGCAGGGTAGGAGGGAGGGAGTGGAGGGCAACATCAGAGCGGAACGAGGGCACGGCTGTGAGCGGATTGGCTTGAAGATGTGCGGGATGTAGCGGCGGAAGGACACGCTGGGTCGGGGTAGCTGCAGGAAACGGGGAGAGGTGAGGCGAGTATTGAAGCAGAATGAAGGCGCGACTTTCAACAGACGGGATGTAGCAGCGGAAGGACATGTTGTAGGGGTAGGGGTAGCCGCAGGGGAGGGGAATGTTGAAGCCGGATGACGTCGTTGTGCGAGGGGGGGTGAAGACGTCGGGATGTAACGCTATAATGCAATGTAGTGCTACGATGGAGTGGAATGTAGAGCTATGATGGGATGTAACGCTATGATGGGAGGTAACGCTGTGGGGTGTAGTAACGCTATAAGGCGTGTGCACTCTATAAGGCCTCCTTGAAGCTAAAACAAATCCGAGGTTCAGATGGTCAGGCCTTGACGAAGCTGATGAGGTCACCTGGTGTGACTCGTACATTTATGAAGCTGACGGAGAGAACTGGACTCACGAATCGACGAAGCTGACGGAGGTGGAGGCGACGTATTGGTGAACGAAGTCAAACGACCACAGCGGAATGCAGCTGCGCACAGGAAGGCGCGGGACGGGGAGGATTGGAAGATGAGGAGGGGGCGGTATTGAGGGAAAAGGAGGCTTAGGTGGAGAGAAATTACGAGGATTTGCAAAGGTATCTGGAAATTGAGGCGAACTGAAGCAACTACTTCTAAAGATCGCGGTTGTTTTGAGTTCTTGCTTTGCGAGAGACGTCTCTGCGTGTACGTGCGACGATCATGCGAGGACGTCATTTCAGTACCTTTCGGAGAGCAGCGCGAAGTGGTGGTTGGCGGGGTCCTGCAACGCCGCTGCCAGCAGCCGCCGCTCCGCGTCCACCATGCTTATTCCCCCCCATCGCACCTGACGGCCGGTCAAGAGTAGGACAAAAGGTAACATATAGCGCGAATAAGGAAAGGAAGAATATAGGGATACGATTCGTCGATGCTACTCACGCTGGTGACAGCACTGTGATGGACTCGCAGTGACAACCTATTATGTGAAATACACACACGACGCCACCACTGACACGCTGTTTTGGTGCTCACCCGATGGTTATTCCTCATCCCCCTCCGTGCTCACCTCTCCCCCCGGGATCAGACTGTCTTTTAAAATGGCAGGCGAGTCAACAGGGAAGGCGAAGGAGGTGTTAGATGCGTGCACGTAGACGGAGTACCGGCCCTCGTGCCCCACGAAGAATCTCTCCCAGAGCGGGGCGAATGGGAGTGGTCCACGTGTCAAGAAGAGAAACGCTATCTTCCCATTTTGACGGTTTTGGCGATTGACGTCCAATTGCGACGATTTTCCGTTCGCCAAGTAAGGATAGCTGCGAGAAGTTGTTTTCACTAAAGCAGACCTAAATATGGAGAAATCCACCCAAAAGAGCGGAGATAGTACGCCGAATATGACTACCACCGAAGCAAGCAATCGCAGGAACGTGTTTGCGGAAAGGGGTTTCATCGAGTATGACTCATTTAGCGATCTGGACGAGGACGAGTGGCGTAACAGCAATGGCGTCGTGTGATCTACATTTTGGTTGAATGCCCTACCGTGAGACAGCATCGTGTTTGCCGCAGTTTAGGTAACGAAACTACGTCTCGAAACTAGGTACGCTGCGTTTGATCAGGAGCGTCGTGAGGAGCAGGAGACGGAAGGAGCAAGCAAGCAAAAGCGACAGAGGGGAACGGTAGTATTGTTGACAAGCGAACAACAAGCTAGCAAGGCAGGGGTGTACTGTACTTCGGACCCTGGTAACTGGGTCTAGCTGGAAGACTCCAGCGCAGAGCAGAGAGACCAACGGCAAGGTTGGAAATTGGAATGACACGGACCGGAACGGAATGGATGGAATGGATTGGATGCGGTGGAGGAGGGCGACACATGAGCGTGTTGGGAGTGTGTGGTGGATTTTCACCCTAGTCCGATCCCAAACCGACAGCGTTTCGGGCACCCGACAGCAATTTGACAACGGACCAGGCTAGGGAGCCGAAATAGACGACCAGGCCAAACAAGGTTGCTTCGTCTGGTACCCCCAGACGTGGTTGGGGTTCCAGGCCTAGCAGGGATCTTTTTCACGGGAAACTCGAGTGAACGGTGACGATTGTGTATGACGACAGTGATTTCGTGCGCTGCCACTGAAGCTTGGACGACGGAGGGTAAACGTGGCTCAGAACCGAAGGCGAAAGGGGTAACCGCATGTCAAATTTTCACACCTAGCGGTCCTCACAGCGCAGAGTCAAGGGACAGGGCAGGAGCGTGAGCCCGCAATCCCGCGCGTCGTCGGATGCATACCCGCGGAGGTGATGCGACTGGGCTGAGTGTACCTGGTCATATGCCTATCAAATTGAGGGAAACACCAGCGCCGCCATTCACGAGGCGGTTCGCCGTGCGAGCCAAATGTTTGGCAAACAGTTTCTCGCTTCGACACTGCTGACTTCTGTACCAAATAACAAGCAGGTGCTCACCTGCCAATTTATTTAAAATTTCCAAATGTTTCAAATCTTGCACACCTTGTGGTGCATGTTTATTTCTCTGCTTACTTGACTTGATACATAAGAGAGCCTAGAAACACATAGGCATAAGATATAAACTAGTCGTTAAAAACCAAGGACCTGCTGCGAGTTCTTCAGCAGGTACGGCAATGAGGACACGTGGAATTTCCTTGCAAACAGGAAGCAGTTCCGCACAGTGCCCTCCACGACACAGAAACCATTCTCAACCGTCTGCAGAGCAGGCCAAAGAAGTGAGGTACATGAGACAAAGGCAGACATAGCATGTGTACAGGCATGTGAGGTGATGGCAGACAAGGCAAAGCAAGTGGAATGTGATATCAAAGCAGACAAAACACACGCATTTACCAAAACACATCCGATAAAATTGCCGAGGCAGCAGTGACCATGAGCCAAACAGGGCAATTAGAGGGTCGCACATTGTGCTCCAATAATCAAGCAAGACTAGAGGTTTGATATACAGACAGAAATATAAGGGAGTTTTGACATATAACTTACTGGAGCAGGTTGGGGTTTCTTAGGGTTTTCAATCTGCCAAGAGCAACGGGCATGTGCAGAAGAAACAGCCAGACAAGCATGGGCACATCAGAATATACATGTGAATATAAATACATACCAGGGTATTTAGGTGGGATAAGAACAAATGGCTGCAACTTACATAGGTATATCGATTTCTGAACTTCTTCCAGTAGTAGCGGTACTGGATATAGTGCTTAGTGGACTGCTCAACAGGCAAACAAACATCAGCGACAGGGATGATATAAGGAGGGAAGAGGATGAAAGGTGGAAAGGGGAGGATTAAGGGGGGGAAACGAAGGGAGCAAAAAGGGAAGGAAAGGAAGGAAGGTACGGTGGGAGGGGAGAAAGGCGCGGAATGACGGGAATGAAGGAGGACTGACTTGGATGGTGAGGGAAACAAAGGAGAGATGAATCCGATGAGGGAACAAAGACATAGGAGTAACACATAGGGAGGGATGGTCCAAGGACAAGAGAAGGCATGGATGTCAAGCAGCCTAAGGCAGACCCGGACGGCCGGGGGCGAGCACAGACATTGAGACATGGAGGACCAGGAGACATCACGGGGAGAGGCACACGAAACCCAAATATGTTATCGAGGCACCTAGAAACACACCGCCCAGTGTAGAGAGGACGAGGGTGTGCGTGGCACCTTGATGGTTTTGAAGAGCTCGTTGGTCATGTTGTACGAGTAGTACGTCTCGGGGTGGAACCGCCACTGGCTGATGGCACCTTAGAGAAGAAAATGAGGCAGTCAGTGTAGAGAGTAAGAGGCCGAGCATGGCACCTTGATGGTTTTGAAAAGGTCGTTGGTCATGTTGTACGAGTAGTACGTCTCGGGGTGGAACCGCCACTGGCTCCAGTCCGCCAGGGTCACGGGGAAGCGCGAGATTCCCGCTGGGTCCTTCAGCTGCGCAGAGAGGCGAGGCGAGGAGTGAAGAAGAGAGGAGAGGAGGGGCGAATGAGCCGCATGTGTTCCATGGTGGGAGGTGCAAAATTATCAGAGTTGATGGCGGAAACAGGAGGGACGAGCGTGTAAGGACACGGCGGCATGGGTTGCACGAGGGGGAACGAGGGGCAGGGAGGGAGGAGGAAGGGATAGGATACTCTACGGGTTGTGCCTGTGTGGAGAGCGGCAGGGCAGAGCGACATACAGCGAGGAGGATCTGAAGGTAGTGCTCGTCGGAGCAGCAGTACTTGGAGTGCTGCGCCCTCCACTGCCACACGCACAGAGGCACGGGTGATGGGGAGATGGGGGACGGCGAAAGAAACAGGTGAGGAGGTGACGCGAATTTACAGCAGAACATAAAATGATGTCTTCAAACCTGACGAGTCCGTGCGTGTTCCCTGCCGTACCTGGCAGGACTTGGAGTGCACGAGGTAGTGCTCCGTGTCCTGCACCACCAGCTCCGCGTGGCGGCGCTGCATGACGAACCACTGGCTGCCCTTGAGGAAGTCCTTTTGCCGGATGGCCGGCATGTGGATGTCCGGCAGGTACCGCCCAAACGCCTCGTCAAACGGGTCCCTGTGCCTGCGGGGGGGCACGACGGGAGAAGGAAGAAGGGAGGGAAAGGGGGGGTGGGGTGGGGTGGGGGGGAGAGCGGGGTAGGGGAGAGCGGGGGGGTGAGGGTGGTGTGGGGAAAAGCAGTACTTGTCGCTTTTAATGGGCTGATGGCCGGCATGTGGATGTCCGGCAGGTACCGCCCGAACGCCTCGTCAAACGGGTCCCTGTGCCTGCAGGGGGCCGGGGAAGGGTGGAATGGGGGTGGCGGGGGCGGGGGAGGGGGGTGGCGGGAAGGAGGGTTGTTGGGCGGCATGCGGATGTTCGACAGATACGCCCAGACGCCTCGCCCGCGTGCCTGGAGAGGGACGGGGACGGGGAGGCGTGGCGGGGGAGGTGGGAGAGGACGCGGATGAGGCATAGGTAAGCAGTCGTTTCGCTACGTTCATCAGGTGTTCCACCTTCTCACATCACACCCTTTCTTGAGTTGCTACTTTGGGCTGTGTTGCAACGAGAGGGTAGGCGAAGAAGGAAGCGTGGGGCGGGGTGGGGGTCGGGAAGGGTGGGGGGAATGTGCGAAGGAAGCGGTGTGCTAGATTGGCGTTGAGAAGGAAATTCGGATACATAATGATATGATGTACTTACGCCTCGACGAAGCTGATGTGCGTGCTGGAGATGTAATCGTGGATGTAGTCGAACGACCACAGCGGAATGCACCTGTCACCGTCACGCAACACGCGCCAGACAGTGAACCACGGGGTAGCCATGGCAAGGACGGGGGAGAGGAGATTGAGAGATGATGAGACGCGGCGAGAATAGAAGACAAATGCCACATAGGGAATGAAAAGGCGAGAGTGCATTGGGGAAAAAACAGAGAAAAATCGAAGCGAATTCAGTGGGTTACCACCCAACGACGAACTCACGATTCCGAGACGAGGACGAAGTACTCGTTTCGCTTGTCCGTGACGGCGTAGGCCAACAGGCGTCGCTCGGCAGCCACGACGGACATTCGACCCCACTCCACCTGCACCACACACGCCGATACGGATTCATCATGCGGAATTCGGACAAGCGAATTCCACAAAATTCATAAATAGCAATCGTCACATAACCGGATACCGATTTTGCGAAATCTGGAGAAAGCTACCCGCACAACAGGAACAACGGAATTGACGCAAGAAAGCTACCCGCATGAGAGACAAAGCCAGCTAGTGATGCGGCGCGCACCTTGCCGCCTGGTATTTGCCGGTCAACGAAGACTGGCGAGAAGTTGGCGGGGAATGTGAAGTTGGGCTGCGAGGCGTGCACGTACACGGCGTAGCGACCCTCGTGGCCCTTCAGGAAGACAGAGTGAGGGAAAGAGGGGGACCGAGAACGCAGCGAAGGACAGAGACGGACGGAATTTCGTTAGGGAGAACTTGATGTTTTGGGGAGGATGTGCATAGAAGAACATAAGGTGAGCCTGAAACTCCAACCCTAGTAAAAACAGTTGCAGACTTCTGGATTTAGAGCGAAGCTAGCGCAGACTCTTGGGCAATCGTACATAGAAAAACTTCTCCCACAGAGGAGCCAATGGCAGCGGTCCACGCGTCAGGAACATGAATGCAATTCTCCCTCCCGCATCGGCTGGCTCCGCTGGAGCGCCATAGCGAAGCAGGGATGTCAGTAGCGGGGATAGTGTCGCTGATAGGAGGAGGAAAAAGAGGGACGAGACGAGGAACGACAGCACGAAGACCAGTGCCAAGGAGCAAAGCACGCGACATATCCTCTCCGGCAGATAACCTTTTAGAGGCTTCTTATCCACTAGCCTCCCACCCTCGGAGATCATGGTTGTCTATTCAGCCTCTACTGGCTACTATAAACAAATCGTTCTAGGTGCTACTTGAAAGGTTCTAAGAACGATCTGGACGAACAGACAGGAACGGGGGTCCTCGCCGTCGATCTCCTCCTGATCGAGCGCAAACTATGCGTCATAATCTTCATTCTGGTCTTTCCACTGCCAACATCGTGAGATTCAAGGAATGAACTGTCAAAGCATGCAGTGACGGTCACTTTTAGGTTCAGAAATTATAATTGAACGTCAGAAGGTCGCGCGGACTACCATCAACGACTACTCTGTTCCACACTCATAACTTGCGTTGCGACGTAAAAATTAGGGCTCCCGTCACGAACACGTCACAGGTCACTGACTATCACAGGCCGAAAAATGTCAAAACACCGTTCAATTCATCGATCGAAATGGACGTGCCCTATCAACTATGGCCTACCAACAGCTTAGACTTGTAACTTGGCGATGGCTGCTGGTAGTTGGCAAAGAGAGGACAGGCGAGAAAAAATGAAGGTGAAAGAGATGTGAAGTAAAACCGAGGGGCGAGGGAGAATCTACCTGAAGGAATCTCGAGGTTTACCTCGGAATGATGTTTGTCCGCTGGGCTGGGAAGGGAGTGTTGGAGAAGGAGCGATCAGGCTCGGAGCGAACCTGGAGAATCCTGGCTAAAGCAGCCTATCATGTCAGTGACCAATGAATTCGAGGTGTCCAGCCACCGAATGCTCTTAGTGAGCCATTCAGCAGTCAAAATAGCTCGGGCGCTGAAGGCTCGGCGCGAGTTTCGGTTTCTGACGGCTCGCAGGACAAGTTTCGGTTCGGGCCGAACCATTTTGCAACTTTGTCCCCAGCCTACCGAAGTGCTGGTTACAGCAATTTTGACGGGCCTCAGCCTGAAGTACCGTACATCTGTAACTTACATGGAAGCCAGTCAAGCAAGCGAACCGCCCTGCTAGAACGGCGGCTCTCCGGCATAAGCATCAGAGGAGCCTTCGATAAGATATACTGAGTAATGCACTCGAACCAGTTATCTTCCATGCACATAAAAAACGACGTCGCCTACAATTTCGACAGTTTTTGCCAACAAATGCTTGGAAAGCGCATGAATCCCTATTGGCGTAGGGAAAAGCATTCAACAACCTGAATGTTATTGCATATTCGAGTGGCTCATGTTCAAATGCACCTATTAGAGCCTTTTCGGCTTGGTTCTTGCGCAACGAAAAGTTCGGCGCCTACGATTTCGGCAGTTCTTGCCGACAAATGCCTAGGAAGCGCATGAATCCCTATAGGCGTACGGAAAAGCATTCAACAACCTGAATGTTCATGCATATTCGAGTGGCTCATGTTCAAATGCACCTATTAGAGCCTTTTCAGCTTGGTTCTTGCGCAACGAAAAGTTCAGCGCCTACGATTTCTGCCGTTCTTGCCGACAAATGCATAGGAAGCACATGATTCCCTATAGGCGTAAGGAAAAACATTCAACAACCTGAATGTTACTGTATATTCGAGTGGCTCATGTTCAAATGCACCTATTAGAGCCTTCTCGACTTGGTTCTTGCGCAAAGAAAAGTTTGGCGCGCTGTTTTTGCCGACAAATGCCTAGGAAGCGCATGAATCCCTATAGGCGTAGGGAAAGAATTCAATAACCTGAATGTCCATGCATACTCGAGTGGCTCATGTTCAAATTCACCTATTAGAGCCTTTTCGGCTTGGTTCGTGCGCAACGAAAAGTTCGGCGCCTACGATTTCGGCTGTTTTTGCCGACAAATGCCTAGGAAGCACATGAATCCCTATAAGCGTAAGGAAAAACATTCAACAACCTGAATGTTACTGCATATTCGAGTGGCTCATGTTCAGTTGCACCTATTAGAGCCTTCTCGACTTGGTTCGTGCGCAAAGAAAAGTTCGGCGCATACGATTTCGGCTGTGTTTTCCGACAAATGCCTAGGAAGCGCATGAATCCCTATAGGCGTAGGGAAAGAATTCAACAACCTGAATGTTCCTGCATATTCGAGTGGCTCATGTTCAAATGCACCTATTAGAGCCTTTTTGGCTTGGTTCGTGCGCAAAGAAAAGTTCGGCGCCTACGATTTCGGCTGTTTTTGGCGACAAATGCATAGGAAGCGCATGAATCCCTATAGGCATAAGGAAAAGCATTCAACAACGTGAATGTTCATGCATATTCGAGTGGCTCGAGTTCAAATGCACCTATTAGAGCCTTTTCGGATAGGTTCTTGCGCAATAAAAAGTTCGGCGCCTACGATTTCCGATGTTTTTGCCGACACATGCATAGGAAGCGCATGAATCCCTATACGCGTAGGGAAAAACATTCAACAACCTGAATTTCACTGCATATTCGAGTGGCTTATGTTCAAACCTACTAGATCCTTTTCGGCTTGGTTCTTGCACAACGAAAAGTTCGGCGCCTACGATTTCGGCTGTTCTTGCCGACACATGCCTAGGAAGCGCATGAATCCCTATAGGCGTAGGGAAAAGCATTCAACAACCTGAATTTTACTGCATATTCGAGTGGCTCATGTTCAAATGCACCTATTAGAGCCTTTTCGGCTTGGTTCTTGCGCAACGAAAAGTTCGGCGCCTACGATTTCGACCGTTCTTGCCGACAAATGCCTAGGAAGCGCGTGAATCCCTATAGGCGTAGGAAAAAGCTTTCAACAACCTGAATGTTCATGAATATTCGAGTGGCTCATGTTCAAATTCACCTATTAGAGCCTTTTCGGCTTGGTTCTTGCGCAAAGAAAAGTTCGGCGCCTATGATTTCGACCGTTCTTGCCGACAAATGCCTAGGAAGCGCATGAATATCTATAGGCGTATGGAAAAGCATTCAACAACCTGAATGTTCATGCATATTCGAGTGGCTCATGTTCAAATGCACCTATTAGAGCCTTTTCGGCTTGGTTCTTGCGCAACAAAAAGTTCGGCGCCTACGATTTCGGATGTTCTTGCCGACAAATGCCTAGGTAGGGCATGAATCCCTATAAACATAACCAAAAGCATTCAGAACCTGAATGTTCATGCATATTCGAGTGGCTCATGTTCAAATGCAACTATTAGAGTTTTTTCGGCTTGGTTCATGCGCAACAAAAAGTTCGGCGCCTACGATTTCAGCTGTTTTTGCCGACAAATGCCCAGGAAGCGCATGAATCCCTATAGGCGTAGGGAAAAGCATTCAACAACCTGAATGTTACTGCATATTCGGGTGGCTCATATACAAATGCACCTATTAGAGCCTATTTGGCTTGGTTCTTGCGCAAAGAAAAGTTCGGCGCCTACGATTTCGGCTGTTTTTACCGACGAATGAATCCCTATAGGCGTTGGGAAAAGCATTCAACAACATGAATATTACTGCATATTCGAGTGGCTCATGTTCAAATGCACTTATTAGAGCCTTTTTGGCTTGGTTCTTGCACAAAGAAAAGTTCGGCGCCTACGATTTCGACTGTTTTTGCCGACAAATGCTTAGGAAGCGCATGAATCCCTACAGGCGTAGGGAAAAGCATTCAACAACCTGAATGTTCATGCATATTCGAGTGGCTCATGTTTAAAAGCACCTATTAGAGCCTTTTCGGCTTGGTTCTTGCGCAAATAAAAGTTAGGCGCCTACGATTTCGGCCGTTTTTGCCGACAAATGCCTAGGAAGCGCATGAATCCCTATAGGCGTAGGGAAAAGCATTCAACAACCTGAATGTTCCTGCATATTCGAGTGGCTCATGTTCAAGTGCACCTATTAGAGCCTTTCTGGTTTGGTTCTTGCGCAAAGAAAAGTTCGGCGCCTACGATTTCGGCCGTTTTTGCCGACAAATGCCTAGGAAGCGCATGAATCCCTATAGGCGTAGGGAAAAGTATTCAACAACCTGAATGTTACTGCATATTCGAGTGGCTCATGTTCAAACGCACCTATTAGAGCCTTTTCGGCTTGGTTCTTGCGCAAAGAAAAGTTCGGCGCCTACGATTTCGACCGTTTTTGCCGACAAATGTTTAGGAAGCGCATGAATCCCTATAGGCGTAGGAAAAAGCATTGAACAACCTGAATGCTACTGCATATTCGAGTGGTTCATGCTCAAATGCACCTATTAGAGCCTTTTCGGCTTGGTTTTTGCGCAAAGAAAAGTTCGGCGCCTACGATTTCGGTTGTTTTTTCCGACAAATGCCTAGAAAGCGAATGAATCCCTATAGGCATAGGGAAATGTCAGAATGTTATTCTCTAGCCTGTAGTGGGGTGCTCTATAGCGAGTACAACCCATCTAGGGTTTGCTATATGTATCCTCATTGCTGCTAGTGAAACCCCTCTTTTGCCTAAACTTTCTCTTGCCTAGCTAGGGCTTACCTAGCTATGGCTCCTAACTATGCTTACTATCTTAACATGCTATCAGAGCGGGTACGCTCTTGGCCTGTGGGCCCACCTGCTTCCGCTGCTACTCGATCTGTCGCACGCCCCGTGGCGTGCGACGGCGCGCGGCGATTTGCTCTTCACGGCCCCGTCGCCGCCCGCAGCGGCCCCCACTCGGCCCCCCCCCCCCCCTTCGCGGCCCCGTCGCCGCCCTTAGCGGCCCCGTCGCCGCCCGCAGCGGCCCCGTCGCCGCCCTCTACGGCCCCGTCGCCGCCCGCAGCGGCCCCGTCGCCGCCGCAGCGGCCCCGTCGCCGCCCGCAGCGGCCCCGTCGCAGCCCGCAGCGGCCCCGTCGCCGCCCGCAGCGGCCCCGTCGCCGCCCTCCGCGGCCCCGTCGCCGCCCGCAGCGGCCCCGTCGCCGCTCTCTGCGGTCCCGTCGCCGCCCTCCCGCTGCCCCTTCGCGGCGCCCTGGGGAGCCGCGCGCGGCCCCTCGCTGCCCTGTGGTGGCGCCCTGGGGGCCGCGCGCCGTTCCCCTCGCCGTCCCCCGCGCTCCTTCCCCGTCCCACCCGTTTTAGGGTTTGGGGGTGCGGGGTGTGGGGGTGGCGGTTGTGGGGGTGTCGGTTGTGTGCGCCGTCCCCTACTCATCCTCCTCCT